CGGGGCCCTGAGCCCCACCACCTGGGGCTGAAGCCGAAGCCTGAGGAACTTAGCTTCACAGTGCCCCCTGTGGTGTGGAGCCCTGGGCACTTGCCCGGCTTGCTACCCCTTAACACTGGCCCTGAGTTTTATATGCAGAAAAACAGTTGTGGCACAGCTGGACTGTGCAGTTTTTATAGCATGTTGGGGGGGCCTTAGAAAGAAAAATTTTGAGTACCGCTGCCTTAGATGAGTTCCCAGGGGACCTGGGACCTACCAGTTTTCTGAGTTTTAGTCTGCTTTTTTGAAGTCCATTGTCCTTGTTCTGCTGCTTTCACTACTTCCTTTCATTAGAATCACAAAATTTATCATTTCATGATCCGTTTCACCCAAGTTGCCTTCAACCTTCAGATTCTCAACCAGTTCCTCCCCTATTGGTCAGAATCAAGTCCAAAATGGCTGTCGTCCTGGTTACTGCCTCCATTTTCTGAAACAAAAAGTTGTCCTAATACAGTCCAAAAACTTATTGTTATTGGAAATTTTGTGTTTTGACATATTACTTTTCCAACAAATGTCTGGGTAGTTAGCCCCACATTACTACTTGGTCTTGTGTTTTGGATATATCTGTTTGTTCCAGAAATGCCTTGTTCACCTCTGTGACGGGGTTCCCTCTCCACTCGTGGCACCTCCTGCTGATCGCTCTGGGGATTAGCTCCGTCTCATGCTGTGCCCTCCTCAGTGGTCTCTCCACCCATCATCTTCTCTGTATGCGGTCTCTCTCACTCTCAGTGCTGCCACTCCTGGTCCGTGGCTTGACCCTCCGACCAGGTCACTAAGTCCCTCCCTTTCCGGGGAAATCACAGTTTTTCTGGACCAGCTGTCCGGCGGGCACCTCTTACACCCTGAACAACTACCCTGTAGCTGGTAAGGGAACCCAGGCCTACTCTCTACACTGGGTTCCAGCTCAGAGACCCTATAACATGCAGCCTGTGCCTGTACTGCCTTTGACCTTGCTGCTGTTTCCCTGGGCTTTTTCCTACTTAACTGGCTCCCCTCACCCTGGATTCGCCAACTTCTCCACTCCTTCCTCTCAGGGAGTTGGTGCAGCCTGCCTTCCTCCAGCCTCAACTACTCTTGTCCCCCTTTCCAGGGAGTGACTGCCCTTCCCTAGCCGCAGCCCTCCTCTCTAGCCAGCTACCTGCCTTTCTACAGGTCCCGTCCTGTTCCTGCCCAGATGAGCCCATTCCTCCTCCATTAGCTCCCTGCCTTGCAGCCTAATTAGTAGCTTGGGCCCATCTGGGCCCACCCAGCTCTTGCCAGGCCAATGTGGTTGCACGCCCAATCACAACCTCCTGTTCCTGATCTGGTGGTCTATAATGGACACTACCATGACATCTCCCCTATTTTTCCCCTTTTATCTTTACCCATAGATTTTCAAGTGGTTTATCTCTCACCTCCTTCTGGACCTCAGAACAAGTGGATATGGTTTTTTATGTATATTGCAACACCTCCTCCCTTTTTATCCTGACTGCCAAGCGAACAAGCGATATCCCTCTATACCAATACTGAAGTCATGAGACTTATTCCACCAGGTCAATTAAATCAGAATTTAGCATATATACTAATACTTCTAGTTCTTCCCGTTTATTCCCCATACTCCTTGCATTTGTGTATAGAGATGTAGGATGTTGAGCAGATTCCCCTACTGATTTCTCTCATGTTGCTCCTATGACCTTACTGTAATTTTCCATGTCTCCCCTTCCCTGCCCTCCCACATCTAGCCCTCTGCTGATCTGCCTGGACACCTGGCCCCTGGCTCCAGGGTCCCAACAGAGGAGTTGGCACTACTCCTCCATGGTTCCTATACCCAGGCACAGGCAACTGGGCAACAAAATAGCAGATTAAATTCAGTGTTGATAAATGCAAAATAATATACATTAGAAAACATAATCCCAACTATGCATACAAAATGATGGGGTCTAAATTGTCTGATACCATTCAAGAAACAGATCTTTGGGTCATCGTGGATAGTTGTCTGACATCTGCTCAACGTGCAGTGGCAGTCAAAAAAGCTAATAGAATGTTAGAAACCATTAGGAAAGGGATAGATAATAAGACAAAATATATCATAATTCCACTATGTATGCCCACATCTAGAATGCTGCATGCAGTTCTGGTGGCCCCATCTCAAAAAAGATACATTAAAATTAGAGCTGCCAAGCAATTAAAAAAATTATTCGTGCGATTAATCACAGTGTTAAACAATAATAGAATACCATTTATTTAATTATTTTGGGATGTTTTCTACATTTTCAAATATATTGATTTCAATTACAACACATAATACAAAGTGTACAGTATTCACTTTATATTTACTTTTTGATTACCAGTATTTGCACTGTAAAAAACAAAAGAAATAGTATTTTTCAATTCACCCAATACAAGTACTGTAGTGCAATCTCTTTATCATGAAAGTTGAACTTGAATTATGTACAAAAAAACTGCATTCAAAAATAAAACAATATAAAATTTTAGAGCCTGCAAGTCCACTCAGTCCTACTTCTTGTTCAGCCAGTTGCTCAGAAAAACAAGTTTGTTTACATTTGGAGGAGATAATGCTGCCCACTTCTTGTTCACAATGTCACCTGAAAGTGAGAACAGGTGTTCTCCTGGCACTGTTGTAGCCAGCGTCGCAAGATATTTACGTGCCAGATGCTCTAAAGATTCACATGTCCCTTCATGCTTCAACCACCATTCCAGGGGACATGCGTCCATGCTGATGATGGGTTCTGCTCGATAACAATCCAAAGCAGTGCAGACTAACGCATGCTCATTTTCATTAGCTGAATCAGATGCCACCAGCAGAAAGTTGCTTTTCTTTTTTGGTGGTTCGGGTTCTATAGTTTCCCCATCGGAGTGTTGCTCTTTTAAGACTTCTGAAAACATGCTCCACACCTCAGATTTTGGAAGACACTTCAGATTTTTAAACCTTGGGTCGAGTGCTGTAGCTATCTTTAGAAATCTCACATTGATACCTTCTCTGTGTTTTGTGAAATCTGCAGTGAAAGTGTTCTTAAAATGAACAACACATGCTAGGTCATCACTATAACTGCTATAACATGAAATATATGGCAGAATGCAGGTAAAATAGAGCAGGGGAAATACAATTCTCCCCCCAAGAAGTTCAGTCACAAATTTAATTAACGCGTTTTTTTTAACGAGCATCATCAGCATGGAAACATGTCCTGGAATGGTGGCCAAAGCATGAAGGGGCATACGAATGTTTCGCATATCTGGCACATAAATACTTTGCAGTGCCAGTTACAAAAGTGCCATGCAAATATCTGTTCTCACTTTCTGGTGACATTGCAAATAAGAAGAGGGCAGCATTATCTCCTATAAATGTTAACAAACTTGTTTGTCTTAGCGATTGGCTGAACAAGAAGTAGAACTGAGTGGACTTGTAGGCTCTGAAGTTTTGTTTGTGAGTTCAGTTCTGTAACAAACAAAAAATCTACATTTGTAAGTTTCACTTTCATGATAAAGAGATTGAACTATAGTACTTGTATGAGGTGAATTGAAAAATACTATTTCTTTTGTTTATCATTTTTACAGTGCAAATATTTGTAATAAAAAATAATATACACTTTGATTTCAATTACAACACAGAATACAATATATATGAAAATGTAGAAAAACATCCAAAATATTTAATAAATTTCAATTGGTATTCTATTGTTTAACAGTGCGATTAAAACGGCGATTAATCATGATTAATTTTTTTGAGTTAATCATGTGAGTTAACTGCCTAATTAAAATTAAAATTAGAAAAAGTAGAGAAAGGCAACAAAAATTATTAAGGATATGGAACAGCTTCCATACGAGGAGAGATTAAAAAGAGTGAGACAGTTCAGCTGAGAAATGAAATGACTAAGGGAGAATATGATAGAGGCTTATGGTTGTTAGTCAAAATAGTCAGGGATGCAACCCCATGTTCTGAGTGTCCCTAAACATCTGACTGCCAGAAGCTGGATGACCTCAGGGGATGGACCACTCAAGAATTGCTCTGTTCTGTTCATTCCCTCTGAAATATGGTGGGACCAGCCACAGTCAGAGACAGGATACTGGGTAAGATGGACCATTGGTCTGACCCACTATCGCCATTCATATGTTCTTAAGTTCCAATAACTCCCCCATTTTCCTGTCCTGTCACAGGCCTTTATAGCCCCATGTGTAGCCTGCCTCCTTTTAATCAGTTCAGTTCAGCCTACCTGCTCTGACACTGGGGAGCTGTGCCTAGTTTACTCACAGGGCCCAGCTACTCAGTGACACCACCGTAGTGTCAGTTAGTGAGGCCCTGATCCTGAAAACATTACACTGGGACTACTCACTTGAATAATGTTACACATATGCTTAGGTATTTTCAGGGCTTCATTTCTCCCTTACTGAAAAGACTTTTATAAACATCAGTAGTAAATCTTTTTTAAAATAATATAATATAATGAGGACATATTATTTAAAGGATGTTCTGTCAGAAATTTGGATGTTTTTAAATTAGTCCCTTTGTGGAGATATTTGAGAAAATTTATATGAGATTAACAGGAATCAAATGTATCCTAATTCTGAGCATTTAGGGTCAAATTCTCTCATTTATCAGAGTAACTCCATTGAAGTCAGTGGAGTTACTCTGATAACTGAGAGGAAAAATTGACCCTTATTATCTAGATTCCAAGTACAAGTACATTTTTTTTGGATTAACCTTCAAATACTTTGAATTGTTACATTCATGATCTATGTTCTATTTTTCAAATGAAAGATACACTAGCAATTGTATTTGTTTTAAGCTGCTCTGTTTCTGAAATTACTATCTTGGCAATTCAGAATACTGAATCAGGGTTGTAATTAGATCAGCATGTTAACAAATTGTTCTTTGGAGTATGATAAATTTTATTTAACTTGAAAATGCAACATAAAAAAACCCAACCCACTAATTGGTTACTTTGTGTTCTCCTCTGCTTCAGATTGTGTCTGGACAAAATGTTTGTCCTAGCAACAGCACAGGAAGTCCATGCATTGAAGTTGATGTACTTGGCATGTCTTTGGATAGCTGCCATTTCCGCACAAAACCCATTCATCGCAATACTCTCAACCCCATGTGGAATGAACAGTTTCTCTACCGGGTTCACTTTGAGGATCTGGTCTTTCTTAGATTTGCAGTTGTTGAAAACAACAGCTCAGCTATAACCGCTCAAAGAATCATTCCACTAAAGGCTCTAAAAAGAGGTAAAATACAATTTGCACTAACTTTGTACATAGTGCCTAGATCCTGAATTATGACTGAGAGTGCTCAGCATCACTTAGTGGGATGTATTTAGTTCTGAGGCCATCTGTCTCAGATGTCAATTAGAGCATTTTCAGTGCTCGAGTTATGCTGTGCTGGCTACCCTTTGCCCCCAGAGGCCATTCCAGGAACTTGTGATAACTAGGGCAGAAAGATGTCCCACCCATGCCCCCTTTTCCATGGCTATGCTCGCTGCACCAATGGCTGGAAAAGGTGGGGAACAAAGTGTAGGGGTGCTACAGTAACTGTCACCTAGGATTTCCTCTACACCAGGAAATCCTCAAGAGGGGTGGTCAAGTTGGTCTCAGGGCTATCTTATGCCACTGTGGTAATACAGAGTAGTCTTAACATACTGGATGATCTGGTCCATTACGTTCATTGCCCAGGATAAAAATAAATATTTTTATGCTGTTTAATACTTCTAATTTATTTTTTTGCTTTCATGAATGAATGTATTTTGTACACAAAAGAAAGAATGACTTCAGTGGGAGTTAAGGGTATTCAATCTCCTGAGGTATGCCACACTTCATAGGATCATGCCCTTTCTGTTGTGCAAAAAGGAATTTAAATTCAAATCATTACAGTGCATTAATAGTTCAGGCATAGCAAAATCTTAGATGCTCAAGTTTTCAACTTTATAAATCATGTATTCCACTTTAACATAATATGCTTGACAAGTTTTCTCTGCCCCAATGACATATTGTTTTAGGGTATAGACATCTCCAGCTACGAAACCAACATAATGAAGCCTTAGAAATCTCAAGCTTATTCATAAACAGTCGGAGGATGGAAGAAAATCCCTCTGGGAACGTTGTGCCTACTTCTTTGGTAATTTGCTTTATGTGAATATCAAATATATTTGTTCATGTGTTCCAAACGACTAATAAACTGTTACAGTACATCGGAGAGACAAGCTGGGTGAGATAATATCTTTTATTGGACCACCTTCTGTTGATGGAGACAAGCTTTCGAGCTACACAACTTGTATCTGTCTCTTCCATCAACAGAAGGTGGTCCAATAAAAGATATTATCTCACCCACCTTATCTCTCTCAGATCTTGGGACCAACCAGCTACAACACTGCATATTACAATACATAGACACTTAGGACCACTTTTTTAAACACTTGGGGCTTGTCTACACAAATATTTAGTTCTCGGCGAGCTGGAGTGTGAATCTACCCCGCACTAGCCTGCTGTGGACGTGTTTTAACGGTTAGTTAATGAGCTTTGATCTAGATCACATTAATAAACTGGTCATGTGTGTCAGCAGCACCCCACCACCCAGTGAAATCCTCAGAACCAAGTTAAGTGCCATATACAATCCATAGGGAGAGTTAGCTGCCTACCAATGGGATTCACAGAAGCCGGCAAGCTGAGCGGGGAGCCACCTAAGCCAGTCATTAGGAAATGCTGAGAAGAGGGTGTGGCTTGAGCCCAGCCCCTCATAGGTAGTTAGGTGCCAAACTCCAGTCTGGAGGGAGGTGCCTGTCTGCTCGCAGGATTCACAGCCACGAACCTTCTCCTGGACTTAGGGCTGACCTGGCTGAAGCACCTTTCTCAAAAAAAACAAAAGGGGAGAGAGAGACTTTCCAGCCCATGATAGGCAATAGGTGAGTGGTCAGACCACTCACCTGTGACGTGAGGGGCCTCTTTTCAAAACTCTGCTCTGTCTGACTTGGAGCAGGGACTTGAACTTGTCTCCCATATCCCAGGTAACCACTAGGCTATAGAGTCAATTTCTGACTCTCTATCCCAGTGAATATTTAATTGTTTATATTCAACAGGAAAGATGGAGAGTGACCCCCCGCCCCGGTGGTTTGGGCACTCACTTGGGATGTCAGAGACCTGGGCTCAGGTCCCTGCTCTAAATCAAACAGAGTGGGGATTTGAAAACACATCTTCCACAGCCATGGTCAGTGCCATAGCTATTGGGTATTCTGGAGGACACACACATGCCAGCCAGCCCCCAAAACTCCTGAACTGGTTATCCCAAACTGTCTTTGTGTGCGGTCCAATCTGGTAGGCATACTCCAAGACAACCTGCTGGATCAGAACCCACTGGGGAGACAGTAAATAGTAAATTTGCAACAACAAAAAAAGGCATTTTGGGGCCACTGAAACTATTCACAAATTCAGGTAGAATTCAGCAAATAATTTCGGCCCAAAAATTGATTTTCTTTTAAACAGTCAAAATGATTTGGTTTTATCCTTTTGAAACACTGTTTTATGTAGAAATTTAGCTATATTTATTAAAACAATTAGATATCAATTACTCATTCAGCTCTAGTCAGGATTTAGACAGTTTTGTGCTTGTTCTAGGAAACTTCACCAGCAGAAACTCAGGCACCTACAGGGTTAAGTGGCAGTTGAACAGAGCATTTGGAGATCTCCCGGCACCCAAATGTTGGACTTTGCCACCTAAAGTGGCAGTTAGCTGTGCCAAGGTGATTCTGAAAAACACAGTAGGTGTCTATCTGCATCTTTAGGTGCCTAAATACTTTGAAAATCTGGCCTTCGGGGCATATCCATAGATTTCTCCTTATGTTATATCTTTAAGTATCAATAATTTTAAGGCTATATACAGTTAAATGCCAAAAAGTTTAATCAGCTATATCAGTGATACTCAGACTTCAGTGGTTCAGGAGCCAAATTAGCGAGCAACATTACCCAAAAGAGCCACAGTAGTGTGAATTCATGGTCTCATTTACATTATTTACATTTATTCATAGTTAAACGGCAAATATTTAGTTTTATAATATATATATAATGCTCAGAGCAAATAAGTTAATAACTTTATTTAATCGGTTAATAGCATAGTAAAAGCATCCTGCTTGGTTAATAACTTAGATTGGTTAATAATTAAATCACACCGTGTTTTAATATCATGTGCTGAAAAGAGCTGCATTAAAGAGCCACTTGTGGCTCAGGGGCCTCAGTCTGAATATCACTGAGCTAGATCCTTGAGTCTGGTTGAGTCATATTCAGTGTTGGTCATAGGGGTGGGAGCAAAGTTGTCTGTCCAGTGTCTGTTTCCTTATACATGTATCATTAGCAGTTCAGTTGAGACCAAAAGTGATGTAAGTCAGAGACAATTGCTTCTGTCTCTGACACAATGAGATGGCTCTTTGCAGTGTTATAGCTGTGTTGGTCCCAGAATATTAGAGAGACAAGGTGCGCGAAAAAAATGGGAAGGTGATAGAACTCTGTAATAGGAAAAGGGGCCTCACCAGGGGTATAATCTGTATAAAGCAGCTCAGAGTGCTGGACTTTTTATTTTTTTATTTATTTGAAAATGTATTATTAATCCCATTGCTGATGCCTAATGTATATTATTATGTCAAACAAAACATATCTCCTGGCTATCCCATGTGCAACAGGCATCAGCAGAACAAAGGCTAATTAATAACCCACCAAGAGGAAGTATGTTATATATACATACTCATGGATTTTAAGGCTAGAAGGGGCCATTGTAATCAACTTGTCTGACCTTATTCATAAACCATAAAACTACACCCAGTAATTACTGCATTGAGCCTAATAACTTGTGGTTAACAGACATCCAGTAATGGAGAATCTAGCAGATCCTTGGGTAAGGTGTTCCAATAGTTAATTACTCGGACTGTTAAACATTTGTGCCTGATTTCCAGTTTGAATTTTCCTAACTTCAACTTCCAGCCATCAGATCTTGTTATACCTCTGTCTGCTAGATTGAAGAGCGTGTAGGTACTTATAGATTGTCTATGCATTTTCTGTGAGACCTATAGATAACATGTCTATATATCTGAAAAAATATTAACTGTCTTTTGAACAGTTGTTTAGCACAGAAGAGAAGAGAACTTCAACATTGTACAAGGTCACAATACATGGAATTCCAGGCCCTGAACCCTTTACTGTTTTTACTATAAGTGAAGGGACTACAGCAGCACAGCTTCTTCATCAAGTAAGTATGTTCACTTGCCCTATATAGAAGGTCACAAGAATCCATAGTAACCAGCTATGTGCTGGGCAGTATCTGACATTCCTACTTTTATTTGGAATCATTACATTTAATAAAATGGATGCATTAACAAATATATTTTTTTTACCACTTTAAAGGGTAAGAGATTATTTTGTAAATCTTTTTGCTAAGGAATTAATTGAACAGCTAAGATATCAGTGAACTTTTCCAAATCTTGACCTTTAGGTAATGATTTTTAATATATGAAATGCAATTCAGTAACAAAAATATATATAAAATTTAGTTTTCTTTTTGCAGTCCTGCAGTTTTAATTAATCAATATGACAAAAAATAATTAGCTAAAATTACAGGAGGCTACATTTTGTTACAAGAAGGAGCTGTATATGGTTAATTATTTAATGATAAATCAAAGTCCACATGACATACGGTTCTCATAACAAATCATTACTTTAATATTTTATCATATCCTAAGTTTCTTTTTGGTTTTGTATATATTCAATGTCACAGCTCCTCTAGTGGTTTTAATGACCATTGCGAAGTTCATTAGAAGAATTCCTTATTGCCATACTACCTTGGGCTGTGAATTAAACAAAGGGAGAGTTGGACTCGGTCAGTACTGAGAAGGAAAACAGGGTTCTTTGGTGACTGGTGATTCTGTAGTTGGTACTCTTCTTGAATCAGTGCTGAACCAAACCTGCAGCCTGGTAGAGTGTAGTTTGCTGTTGGAGATGCTGTCTTTCAGATGAAATGCAAAACTGAGGTCAGGATCACCTGTAGTTATTAAATAACATGATGCTTTACCTACTATTAGAGTACCTACTTAAATTTAGTTTAATTTGGCTTTATAGAAGACATCTATGTAATTTGGGGTCTTTGAAAGTTAATATTTTATTAATAAAAACATTTAAAATAACCAGAATTTTAGGAATTTAATATAAGCTTTTTCAAATCACCTTGAACTGATCTTAGCATGCAGTTTTAAAAGACCAATGCCCTTGTTACTCTGGGTTGTTGTTGCACAAAGCTGCCTAAAGCTGATCACTGTAGAGGAATCTTATATGAAAATGAAGCCCACATCAAGGGTGATGACATTGCAGTGTTAGAACATGGCAGAATGACTCAAATCCCAGTCTAAGGGAAGAAAGTGCAGTGTCCTGAAACTGCCACAATACCTGTGCAATTATACCTACCTATCTCATAGAACTGGAAGGGACCTTGAAAGGTCATCAAGTCCAGCCCCCTGCCTTCACTAGCAGGACCAAGTACTAATTTTTGCCCCAGATCCCTAAGTGGCCCCCTCAAGGATTGAACTCACAACCTTGGGTTTAGCAGGCCAATGCTCAAACCACTGAGCTATTATGTACCAACTGAATGCTGTTGTCAACATAAGACCAATTTTTCTGCATCTCTCTGATGATTATTATAATTAGGAACCAGCTAAAATGAGGAATAATCTGAAGCTTTGTGCAAAATTCAGACTGAGCCATGGTTTGAAAAGTTTTTGTTACCATACTTCCAGGATCCACCAGGAGCAGAAAGGCCAAATACCCCAAGACAGATGGTTCTTGAGGTATTTCTGATCTAGCCAAAAACAATTTAATGAGAATGTCCAATCTACCCTTCAAATCCCTTCCTCACAGCATTTTCTGTCAGGGGTACTGTAGGCTATTAACTGTGATCGGGCCAGTTTGAGATAATACTGTATACTGTGAATCACTTCTGAGCAACAGCTGAACATGAAGTTAAAGCTGGATAATGACAACGTTTTTTCTCTGGTGCTGAAGATCTGTTTGGACACCATATTACCTATCACTATTTTAATGTCTGGGCAAACAAAGATATGAGAGCTTTTTGAACAGTGGGTTAGGCTGGTTGCCCTTGCATGTACACTTTTCTGTTTAATTCTTTGAATATTCTAGAAATACAGAGTAAATGTTAAAGGGCTTAGTTCATGAGTAGAAAAACCTAAAACTGATTAACTCAACAGGGGTTGTTATTTCAGCAGTGGGAAAATACTGTACTGTCCTGGGTTTATGAATAAATTGACCAGCCAAACTGGACAGACATATAATTCAAATAGTATTGCCTTGTCTGGAATAGTTGAACTGTTTGGGTAATCTAAAGAGAACTGTATATTAGTTATGAGTAGCAGATCAGAAATACTTGTCTACACCACCAGAATTAAATAATTGATCATAGCTTTTTGTATACACATTCATTCATAGCTACTAAACAAGCACTGTTTATGTCTAGCATTCTAATAGTTGTATATATGTTGTGGTTCTGTCTCAGATTTTGGCTACCACAAAAAGCACTGAATCACGTGCTCCAGATTATTTTCTGATGGAGGAAAAATGTTTTATATCTAAAGAAAAGACTGAGTGCAGGAAACCACCATTCCAGAGAGTGATTGGCCCTGAGGAAGGGCTAGTACAGCTTTTGAACAGCTGGTTCCCAGAAGAAGGATATGTTGGAAGGATTATCTTTAAAACCCAAGAGGAAGTAAGTTTGTTCTGGAAAAACTGTCATTTACATACATAGCTAAAAATAATGATCACAAGAGGGACAATAAGAGCATCACATTTGGTTTGCTAACTGGAAGTTAAATCTTATTGACACACACAGCATTAACAGAGGACAGCTGAGCATTGTCAAGTTTTATGCACCTATCATTTAGTCTACCTGTGCAAAGACAGATACACTTTCACACAGCCCTGTTGATCTCTGAAATGCATCATCGTTATTATTTAGTATTTGTATAAATCAGAATCAGGCCATTATTGTACTGGGCACTGTACAAAAAAAATACAGTCCCTGCTCCCAAGGAGTTTAGATTTTTAATAGTGATTAGATATGAAAGCATGTCAAATATAAGGAATGAAAGGAGTAAGGTAGATGAGGGTTATAGCTGTTGGAACACTAGATTGTAATTATTAGCAAGGGTATACTATGGAGACAGCAAGGCTTTTTCTTATTTAAATTGATAATTACCTTTAGATAAAGAACCTCAGCAACGGAGAGGATGGGGAAGGTGTTGTCAGTGACAAAATGGGGGAAGAGGCAGGGTTCCAGAAGGAAAAGAAGTCAGTTTTAGCTGCTGTCAGTCAGAACATCCATGAGATGTCCTCAAATACAGGGATTCGGGTGCAGGGAGAAGAGTCAGAAGTAGAAAGGCACCTAATGAAATGACCTGGTTTTCAGGAGTGCTGACACTTGAAACTCTGTTCAGCACTCAGTGGTAATTATTTAGTTTTAACATATATGTGTGTACATATCCATTTGTATATTTAGATAAACACATATACACAAAATTTATGAAAGTTTATTTAACTCTTGGGATGTTTGAGAATGAAAAGTTCTGTCAGTGCAAATTTTATTTGCTAAATTTGCAGAGAAATATTTTTTATCCCTTTATTATTCCTACAGTTCTTCTGTTGCAGCTTGGTTTTGTAAAATCTTTATTGCACATCTTTTTTCCTAGCCTCCAATCCAGTCTTATTTTGGTGCATTTACTTCATCCTCCACAAAACAAAAGGTTACCAGGTCTGCATTTGCTTGGGGGAAACAAGTGTATGCTTATTCAGTTGAGAGTATTATTTTGAGTTTTGTGTGAGGAGCTAGGTACACTGAATTAATGCATGAGCCCTTCACTTTGGAAAACACAGGTCAAAATCCATCTTAAATCATAACTAAAAACTAGTGTGAAGGTTTAGTTTTAGTCTTCATGGGACACTAGTCACCATCAAAACACCTTTACAATTTGGAACAAATCCAGAGGTGGCAGTCTGTTCTAGGCAGTGGAAGTGCATTAACATTCCCATTAGGTGACGTAAGACCCTTTTAAAAATCCAACCTTTAGGTCACTTTTCTCAACTAAATACATTTTTTGTTTTCTCTTTACATTTTTCCACAGAATTTGAATGGGAGAAACATTTTTCAAGAAGAGAAAGAAGATGCAAACATTAGCTCTGAAGACGATAGTTTCTTTGTTCAAGTGCATGATGTTTCCCCAGAGCAGCCTCGCACTGTCATCAAAGCTCCCCGCTTTAGCACAGCACAGGATGTAATACAACAGGTAGAAAGCCTTTCTTTCAGTTTTTTCCTGTTTCCACTCAGTAAGTTCCCTATTCATTTGTTAGAGGTGGGCTCATACAAGAAATGTTAACTGAGTTTTTTCTCAGTTAATGGGACAGATCCTCAGCAAAGAAGCTCTTTGCTTCTGCCAATTTGGACTAAGCATCTACTCAGTAAACACAGTGGGGTATTATGTCTTTAATTTGCCTTTTTTTTTTTTTTTTTTTTTTTTAAACAGACTCTTTGCAAAGCCAAGTATTCCTACAGCATTCTGAGTAATCCCAACCCAAATGACTATGTCCTCTTGGAGGAGGTGACGAAAGAGCTAGCAAACAAAAAGTCAACATCTAAGCCATCACAGAGAATTCTCTCTGACCAAGAGTGTGTGTTTCAGGCACAGAGCAAGTGGAAGGGAGCAGGGAAGTTTATCCTTAAACTTAAAGAACAGGTTCACGTAAGTGATTGAAAACCCTTTTGTTGGTTTTAAAAATGGGGTTTGATCAAATATTTGGAATGGCAAATGAAAACATATTCCTTGACAAGAACATACATAAGAATGGCTATACTGGGTCAGACCAAAGGTCCATCTAGCCCAGTATCCTGTCTTCTGACAGTGGCCAGTGCCAGGTGCCCCAGAGGGAATGAACAGAACAGGTAATCATCAAGTGATCTGTTGCTCATTCCCAGCTTCTGGCAAACAGAGGGTAGGGACTCTACCCCTGCCCATCCTGGCTAATAGCCATTGATAGACATATCCTTCATAAACTTATCTAGTTCTTTTTTGAACCCTGTTATAGTCTTGGCCTTCACAACATCCTCTGACAAGGAGTTCCACAGGTTGACTGTGCATTGTGTTAAAAAATACTTCCTTTTATTTGTTTTAACCTGCTGCCTATTAAGTTCATTTGGTGGCCCCTAGTTCTTCTTTTATGAGTAAATAAAAAGGAGTAAATAACACTTCCTTATTTACTTTCTCCACACCAGTCATGATTTTATAGACGTCAATCATATCCCCCCAGTCGTCTCTTTTCCAAGTCTTATGATCTCGCCACATATGGCAGCCGTTCCATACCCCTAATAATTTTTGTTGCCCTTTTCCGAACCTTTTCCAAATCCAATATATCTTTTTGAGATGGGGCGACCACATCTGCAAGCAGTATTCAAGATGTGGGCGTACCATGGATTTATACAGAGGCAATATGATATTTTCTGTCTTATTATCTATCCCTTTCTTAATGATTCCCAACATTCTGTTTTCTTTTTCGACTGCTGCTGCACATTGAGTGGATGTTTTCAGAGAACTGTCCACAGTGACTCCAAGATCTCTTTCTTGAGTGGTAACAGCTAATTTAGAACCCATCATTTTATATGTATAGTTGGGATTATGTTTTCCAATGTGCATTTCTTTGCATTTCTCAACGTTGAATTTCATCTGCCATTTGTTGCCAAGTCACCCATTTTTGTGAGATACTTGTGTAGCTCTTCGCAGTCTGCCTGGGACTTAACTATCTTGAGTAGTTTTGTATCATCTGCAAATTTTACCCCCTTTTCCAGATCATTTATGAATATGTTGAATAGGACCCCTGGGGGACACCACTATTTACTTCTCTCCATTCTGAAACTGACCATTTATTCCTATCCTTTAACCAGTTACCAATCCATGAGAGAACCTTCCCTCTGATCCCATGACTGCTTATTTTGCTTAAGAGCCTTTTGTGAGGGACCTTGTCAAAGGCTTTCTGAAAAATCTAAATCCACTGGATCCCCCTTGTCCACATGCTTGTTGACCCCCTCAAAGAATTCTAGTAGATTGGTGAGGCATGATTTCCCTTTACAAAAATCATGTTGACTATTCCCCAACAAATTATGTTCATCTATGTGTCTGACAATTTTGTTCTTTACTATAGTTTCAATCAGTTTGCCTGGTACTAGTCAGGCTTACCGGCCTGTAATTGCCGGGGTCATCTCTGGAGCTCTTTTTAAAAATTGGCATCACATTAGCTATCCTCCAGTCATTTGGTACAGAAGCTAATTTAAACGATAGATTACAGATGACAGTTAGTAGTCCTGCAATTTCACATTTGAATTCCTTCAGAATGCCATCTGGTCCTGGTGACTTATTACTATTTAGTTTATCAATTTGTTCCAAAACCACCTCTAATGAAACCTCAATCTGGGACAATTCCTCAGATTTGTCACCTAAAAAGAATGGCTCAGGTTTGGGAATCTCCCTCACATCCTCAACCATGAAGACCAACGCAAAGAATTCATTTCATTTTTCTGCAATGGCCTTATCCTCCTTGATTGCTCTTTTAGCATCTAGATCGTCCAGTGGCCCCACCGGTTGTTTAGCAGGCTTCTGGCTTCTGATGTACTTAAAAAAATTTTTATTACTTTTTGAGTCTTTGGCTAGCTGTACTTCAAATTCTTTTTTGGCCTTCCTAATTATATTTTTACACTTCATTTGCCAGAGTTTATGCGCCTTTCTATTTTCTCCATTAGCATTTAACTTCTACTTTTTAAAGGATGCCTTTTTGCCTCTCACTGCTTCTTTTACTTTGTTTTTTAGCCATGGTGGCTCTTTTTTTTTATTCTCTATGTTTTTTAATTTGGGGTATACATTTAAATTGAGCCTCTACTATGGTGTCTTTAACATTTCCATGCAGCTTGTAAGGATTTTACTTTTGGTGCTGTATCTTTTAATTTCTGTTTAACTAACCTCCTTTTTGTGTAGTTCCCCTTTCTGAACTTAAATGCTACAGTGTTTTCCCCACCACAGGGATGTTAAATTTAATTATATTATGGTCACTATTACCACGCGGTCCAGCTATATTTACCTCTTGGACCTGATCCTGTGCTCCACTTAGGACTAAATCACAAATTGCTTCTCTGAGAAGGGGCCAGAGAGTGTTTTTTTAATTTTAAAATGAAAGTGCTAAGTTGATTCCACTTCATTTTTGTACCAAATATGGTCAGATAAGAAACCCCCCCACACACACACACAAACTCCAAAATGCCAGATCTCTGACAATTCTCAACTAGAGACAAGGTGGGTGAGAATGGTTGCACTGCAAGAGTCAGAGGAACATTTTAGGCTGGATGTAGCATAAAGCTTCTTTGCAACATAACAGTAAATTCCTGCTGTGCCATGCTTTCATAGCCAAGTGGAACTACACTCTTTTGTGCATATACTACTACTGGTGAGCTAACCTCAGGTCTGATCCTGCTAGAGGCTGAGGATTATGTCCACAAAGGCTTAGGCTCAGCGATGCAGTGT